TTTTTTTTTTTTTTTTTTTTTTTTTGTGATTATGAAACCTTTCTTCTTATTGGTCTTTCTTAGAATGACAGCAACAAGCAACCCAATGGCAGTTATAAAAACTGCCACCAAATTACCTATTCTGAGATAAGACTGTAAGAATGTTTAGGCCACGCAAACCATTGTGGAGGGAAGTCTCTTATGCAATAAAAATTAAACCATCCGCTAGACATTTACTGATGCAGAATGTACAGAACACCAAGACCCTTAACTGAACTCTTTATCCTAGCTATTGCCTCAGTCATTAAATGTAAAATTCTTAACAGTAACATGCAATTTAATGTTGCCCAATATGGCATCTTTGGAGCAGTGCCTCATTAAAGTAATACCTATGGCATAGTAGCAAGCTGGCTACAGGCAAGTCACTTGTTAGAAAGTAGCACATAAAAGTTATAAACTTTAGAAAGAGCACAGAAGAACAAAGCTCTCTCTGAAAAACCACAGCAACTTGAGTGGATTTTGAAAACCTTTACACATATAAATTACTAATACCAACTTATGAAGTCTTCAACCCATCATGAGCAGTGAGGGAAAGGAAAAAGACAAACATACCATCATGCCAACCCCTACTGAAGCCTGAGCTCCTGCTCTGAGCCCATCAGAAAGGTTTTCAGTCACAGAACGGCCCAACAGCGCTGTGTCTGAAGATAGGCGATTTATCAGTTCCCCTGTGCTGGTCTTATCAAAAAAAGCAACTTCTTGCTTCAGAATAGAGGAAAAGATATCTTGTCTCAATTGTTTCACAATTCTTTGTCCTACAAGAAAAAAGAATGGTTATCCAGAAAAGATTAACATTCCAAAACTTCACATGTAGAAACACCCCCTCTCTCCCCTTACTGACTTTATGAAAGACTGGAATAGAATTCTTCCATTTAAATCATACTGAAGTGTTACAAAATCCTAGAATCTAAACAAAGCGGACATATCCAGTGCGTGGCAAGTTACCCCACATGGGGTAGGGGAGGCTGAGGCCAGCACTGTGCTGGCCCCAGTAACCTTACCTGGGGTCCTGGGAGCCTCCCAGGGCTGCAGCAGCAGCGATCCTGCCATGTGGAGTCTGGCCAGCAGCGATGTGTGGCTCCAGCCAGCCAGGCTCCAGCTTTGGGTGGCACACACTGCCACTGTATATGCCACTCCGCCTTTTTTTCCCCCCCCATGGGTTTTTTTGACCCCAGAATATCAAGGGGTCAAAAAAAAAAAAAAACCAAAAAACTCTCCACACAGCTCCTGTGTAAGGTGGAGAATGGAATGTGCAGTATACCACACTGTCGCACTCATCTGGACATGGCCAGTGAGCTTTAATCAGTCTGTGTCAAGATTTAATTCCTCTTACATTAGGCACCTTCGTATTGCTCATTTATCTTTGATGTGATGAAGCAAAATAGCAATTTTCAGAGAGATTCACAACTGGTTCTAGGGATTTCTTTCAGACCTTTAAACAGTACCCTGTTTCTATGGCAAGGACCCCCTTTGACTTCACTGGGTTTCTTTTACCTGCAGTTTGCATGAGGTACACACGAATGGCATTTGCAGCAGCACCACACAAAAACAGCCCACTCAGCAAAGCACAGAGGCTGGTCAGGCTGTTGGTGAAGTCTTCACTGGGATTTGTATAAATGGCATCAATCACTTTCCCCAAGAAGAAAGGAGCTGACATGGTGATGACACTGGACACCGTCAGAAAGCCAACACCAGCTGAAACAAAACACACAAGCCCCCTTACATTCAGAGTTTGTTCAACCATTAACAGAATATTATGGATGAGTATTGTTTTTAATCTTCCAACAACCGATTAAGTACTATGGTCTCTAGGACTAAATTACTGGTACTCTTTGAACAGGATATTGAAAGCTAGTTTGACACAGCTCACCAAATGCACTAAGCTACAAAATGCTTAAGAGGTAGATGGGAAGAGTCCCATACAAAAAACCTTCTCATCAGCAGATCCTTTAAAGAGCGGGGAGAAAGCCAGTCTTTTTTTACTGAGAGACATGGGATTAATTTTCAGGGAGCACAGATCTCTTTCCAGATACAATCTTCAATCAACAAGAATCCACAACCCAGTGTACTGACTAAAAAGGTATATATCCTGAAAGAACATTCTCAATGAGCAGACTACTGATAACACTATGAACAGCATATGCAGCCAACCTGTAGCCCGTCTTATTTAACATGGCAGACAGCATGCTGCCTTCTTCCTCCTGCAGTTCTGACAGTTCCTATCATTCAAACTTTTCCCTCCATTTGAAAGTCGCCTCTCCTTGCTAGTGAAGCAAAACAAAATATGCAAGGAGCCTCCTTATGCAGCTTGAAATGTTTGCCCTGTTCATCACAGCAAAGCTAAAGCGTATCTTCAGTACTTTTGGCTCGCTTCATCCTAGGAAAGTTTTGAATGAGTTCTTTATTGACACCAACTTTAGACTTAGAGCATACCAACTTAATTAATACCTGTTTTTCAGGACTATGAATAACAGATTTGCTTTAGTTAGCCTTCATCACCATCATCCAACCTGTGGCACAGGTAGTTGGTATACAGGCACATGACCCCAGGCACAGATGACAGGGATTGGAGTGGCACTCAGGGAGGAGACAGGGATAAGTACTGACTCAGTGGTTTGGCCCTGCGAAAGCCATGGGTGTGGGTGCTGCCAAATTCAGTGTTGATGTGTCTTAGTGACAATGGGATTTTGCGGCACCAAGACACACTGCAACTTTAAATCAGCCACCACTGTCTCATAATTTGGACTTACCTTGTGGCATGATTGCCAAAGAGGTTGGCCGCCATTGATCTAACCCATCAGCAGCCAGGGGGCTATCAATGGTCTTGTGGGGTTTTTTTAATTTCTGTTAAAAAAAAAAAGTGTTGCTGTGAAAGTTAACTGTAAAATGACAAATGCAGAGGAAGCTTAGATGTCTCTCTCTGCAGCCTATCTGACAAGAGGAGCGTGACAGAGACAGCTGTGGGGTTGGGAGTATGCTAGCTGGAAGACAAAAGGGAATGTGGGGTGGGAGGTAGGCAGTGAGGCTTTACGGTGAACTGGGGTGGAGGTGGGCTGCATGATCAAAAAAGTTAAGAACAGCAGTCCTAGCCAAATAAGGATGGTAAAAAGTATTTCTTGCAGATGCTGCCACACAAGAACTTAGTGGTAATAAAGAATCCAGAAGCACTTCTTAACTGTCAGCTGAATCACAAAATTGTGCAATTATGTTCACATATTCACAGAAGAACACACTGTAGCTGCAAACTCCTCAAATCACCTTCCTCTGTCTCACAGCATAGTCTGTCTTGCTTGGATTCAGTTTCAACCAGTTGTTCTTCATTCACAATTACAGCAGATTTCACTTGAATTCCTTCTGTCTAATTAAACTAAAACTAAACACTCCGGAAGTAGTGAACTACAGATACTCCATTTACTGAAATACTAGGTACAATGTGCTAGTACAATGCATTTAAAGTTTAAAATTGTAAACAATATTGCCTTACAGACTAAAAGCCAAGTAATCTACATTATTACTTATCTTTTCCTGTCTCCAGGTGCACAGAATTATCCCTGTTTTAAGCACAGCCAAAATACAAAAAGATTTCATAGTTTATCTTGCCAATTTTACTGCAGTAACAGTTTCATCACTCAACTGCACAGACCCAGCATATATCATGTTTTCTGTTGTCAGCAGTAAGGGTCACTCTTGATTTTTAAGGGGTACTGTTGGCACCTAGGAGAACAAGGGTGTTGCAAACTGTTGGCTTATCCAAGAAACAAAATTCAACACTCCCAACAAGAGGTGGTACAGTGATAATTAGTTCAAAAAAAAGGGAGGGGTAGGGCAGGTTCAGCAGCCAGATATGAAGGTATTCCAGAGGTCAGAGGCCCTGCCACCAGAAAAAGCTCAACATACAAGCTCCAGGGTGTTTGCGTTAGGTAGCTTGACAGAGAAAATTCACTTCAGTGTTAACAGGAAAATGCACCCTTCCAGGGCATAGATTCGATGATCTTACAGAATCACACGTCAGAAAATGCCTACAGGGATCAAACTGAAAACAAATCATTTGTAGTAGATGGACACAAATTTACTCAGTGTCTAGTGGGGAATCCATACATACTTGCATTAGGATAACATCCTATTACAACTATGGCTGAAGAACTCCAACAGATCCCAAGAGCAATATAAACTTTTGCCAGTAATGAGAATGCTGCTTTGGACAGAAGTGCATTTGTGCTCCTAAATCACAACGGGTTTCCTTTAAGCACAGAAACTTTTTTAAAATGTACAAAGTGAAAAACAAATTCCCAGTCTCAAGGGTCTCGGGTCTTGCAAAATGGTTTGTCTTATCTGCATTTATACTTTACACGTGAGGTTTGACCTAGTTTCATCTTTTGCCAGTATTGCATCTCCTGTTATATCCAACTGTACCGAGAAGATAGCAAAAGAATAATCTTTGACCACATCAACCCAAAGCTGGTAGTCTAGATCCTACCCAGTCAAGTTTGAGAGCAGAATTTAGAACAGACAGTATTAGTGAAACTGATGGGGTTGGGCCTTGTTTCTACAGAGATGAAGAGTACTGATCCCAAGCATGCACTTGGATCTCTCCACAGCATTCAGTACAATCAGCAACAGAAACTTATCTGGTCTCTTCAGCCAAGTACAGACAAAAAGCCAGAGGCTGAATCAATTCAATCTTTGCAGGTTAGTCTAAGATGCATAGATTGAACCAATAAGCAAGTTAGCATACATTCACTTTTGATTCCAGAAATGCAGTCACATGACCACAGTGACCCAGGCCAGAAGCTGAGGTGCACAAGAGCATACCTCCCTACTCGGCTGAAGCTTGGGCCAAGGCTAGCCCACCCATACTGAGAGGCAGGGTTTGCGGGGAGGGGCAAAGCATCCTGGGATGCTGGGGGACTACCAGTTAATTAATCTGGACAGGATCTGGGACAGAATTTCAATAAACAGATTTAACCTAAATCAGTTCATTCTGATATTACATTCATCCAGGTTTATCTTAAACTGGTTTTTGTCATTTTGAAAGCAGTTTATGTCCACTGAACTTCTGTTGTGTTACAGATTTGAACTGGTTTCCTACCACTTATATCAGTTTATGCATCATTTCCATCCCTAGCCTTAGAAGTAGAAGGGATCAAGAGAAACTGAGTCTAGCGGACAGTTACAGTACTCTGCCACCAGACCGGTCTAGTACAACAGTTCTATTGCTTCTCTTTTCCTATGCAATATTGACATGCATCTGCTAAGCAAAGCAGTGACATTTCACGAGCTCAAATGCAAGCAATAAACAGAGGATACACTTTCCATTAACAGTCACTAGCCATTAAGCTGCCCCAATGTCAGAGAAACTTGATGAAGACAAGCTGCTAGACTCTTATGGAATTAGCTGTACCGGTTGAAGATTTACATCCACAACTTGTAAAGACACTTTGCAGTTGGGTGCTTCTAATCTTTCTGTCAACACCAGGCTCTCATGTTCTTGAAAGACTGGTTAGTTTAACATATTGCATTTTTTTCCAAAGAAAGCTTCAATCTCAATTATTCCTGGGTTTGGCTCCCTGACCTGGCTCCCCAGACAGCACCACCTCAAGTCCTTTTCACTTCTCTAATGGATCGAGGCTGAAGATATCTTGGGAGATGCATTATTTTCCTGGATCCTGATGATGTTTAATAGCTCTACCTCAGGAAAAATACAAGTATCAGACAGGGGTCCTCTCAGTGGGTGGTCTTAGACTTTGATATTCACTCCCACAACAACTTCCCCTACTCAGGGACACATAGCACATTCAATATTATATGCAAACAGTTACTTACAAGTAAATATAATTTCACAACCTGTCCCTCCAAATGGAAGACAGAAGAAACCCAATGCAAACACTAATCCTTTTTTATTCTTAACCTTGAAGACACTCTGGTGGCATGGTGACAGGTGCAACATAACATACTAAACAGAAGAGAAATATACTTTGTCTTTTTCTAAGGCATACACTGAACAGAGAAAGCATTTAATATAAGGATTTAAGGAAAAACTAAATGAGGGGTCAGGGGCTGAACTGGCAGGGTGTGGAGGGAAATGGGAGAGGGGACTGGGAAGTTATTCCAGTCACAGCAGAAAACAGAGGAACTTGAACAGCAAGACATGACCAATAAAGTTGGCATTGGAGCCACGGGAAGAGGAATCTATAAAGTATGCCTAGACAGAGTTCTTCGGAGTCATGACAATATGACATGAAAGTTTAACTTGGAAACTGTTTGGCAGGAAGTATGGTCACATAAAATGCCAGGACTTAATTTGCGACTGTCCAGCACAAGCAGTGAAGAAGTTATTCAAAGCTTGCTGAAAAACTACATCTTCAACAAAAATATTTCTTTGCTGAAAAGATTCTGCAGTCCTGGAAAACTGACCATTGAGTCAATCACCAATGCAGAGCACAATGGGAGTTTTCAGAAGCTATACCTTCAAAGCTGATGTGGTACATTTGTACCATCTGCTAAATCCTGTCCTCAAAGACTAGCATGAGTTTTTTTAAACAACTGCTAGCAAAAAACTGAAAATTTTCATGTATTGTTAAAGTTAAAATACCTTGTAGAAAGCAGCCAGAACAAATGACATCTAAAAGAAGAACCACTGAAAATTATCTCAGGAAGTGGGAACATTTAGTAGTTGAGATTGGGCAATAGCTTTG